AGGTCTTACAGACTTGGCGAGGTTGAGGGAAGGAAGGACCTGCTCATCCAACGTGGAGGTGCCAGCCCCGGGGGTGCTTCCTGGCTGCTGTTTGGGCCTTATCCGGTGACCGGGAGCCAGGCTTGGTCTCACTTGGTCCTCTATAGCTTCCTTTCCTCCCACAAGTAATGACACTGATGCTCTTTATACAAATTTCTCTTGTAAATAACTCTAAACAATTTGAGGATAGCTTTGTGGTGAAAGCCCCTGTCCCCACGTCTCCCTTTGTGAGCCGGGATCGATAATGTGTTTATCATGACCATCAATTCCAGCTTACTAGACAGCCGTATCACTCCTCTCTCACAAAATGCCTTGTTTTTATTTCTAGTGGAAAGTGGCTTGACTTTGCACAAAAATAAAAGTAAAGGGGGGACTTTCATGGCTCAATTTTACAGAGGAATGTGTCTCTTCTCAAATGGGTAAGGGTGCAGTTTTTCCAGTAAAGAATCCTGGAAGAGTTTAAATGCAGGAGGCCTGGCTACACTGCCTGGCTCCCCCAACGCTTCTCTGCAGAAGTTAGTGGAGAGGTGTGGGGAGCAGAGGCAGCCATCCGGGGCATGCAGGAGGGTGGGGATCCTGAAAAGGCAGGGGCAGGATTGATCAGGTATGGCCCAATCCTAGAGGATCAATGTGCTGTGAGGACATCTCAGTGGTGCACTGAGACCACGGTGCTAGTGCTGAGCTGACTGAAGCCATGTGGATTGTGGGGCAGCCACACAAGGTTTGCATCAGGAGCAGTCCTCTTCCGCAACACTCCTTAGAGGTATCTTCCTGTTGCAGGCCACATGTAGGCTGCGGCAGGAAAGTGTCCATCTCTTCTCCAGCACCTTGCAATGATGGAGCTGTGACCAGCAAGTGTGCACACATCTTGGCCAACATGACGGGTTCCTCTTCTCTCTTTATCCTTCTCATCAGCCATGTGCTCTGTTTCAGTGTGGAGAGGAGGAACCCTACCTGGGTGTCAATGTGGCATCTGTGTGTGGCTTCAGGAACATGAAAGGGAATTTAGCTAACAAACCAACAGGATGCCTGCCCTTTGCCGGGCACTGTGCTGGCCAGTGGGCATGCACAGTCAGCAGGGCCAGTCTCTGCCCCAACGAAGCTGTGGTCTACTCAATTAGGGACATTCAGTGCTGAAACTAGGAAAATCCTGGGTAAACCTGGATGAGTCGGTCACCTTTGTTATGATTTAGATCCAGCATGTCCCCCCAAATTCTCATGTGCCCAAAGATGGGGCTTTTCGGGGGTGACGGATCATAGGGGTGCTGTACTCCTCAGTGGATTTCACCTGTTCGTGAGCTCAGCAGCAGAGTGTGCTGTTTGGAGACGGGGCCTTGTAGGGGTGGGGGATCACTGGGTGTGTGACCCTGGAAGGATGAACCTCTCTGTCTGGCTCCTCCCTTCCTTGTCAAGTAGCAAGTGGTGGTAAAAAACAAAGTTCTGGTGGGAAAAGAAGAAAAGTTTGCCAACTATTTTAGCGGTGGAGTATCTGCTGCTCACACATGTGATGCAGATCTCCAAGCAAATGGTCTCATATCATCATTTCCTGCTCTGTGTGGGCATGGGTGAAGAGCCCAGATGCCCTGTCCATGGTCACACAGCAACTGGGGCAAAGCTGGGGCTGTCATGTGGTATCTTCATTTGCTGTGCAATGCCCATTCCCTAAAGTGTACTTGCCGTGTGTGTTTGATCCTGCTCTCTCCTCACTGCTCTACTTATGCAGGCCCACTTCTTTCAGCTTAAGTGCAGAAAATTTGGAGGCAAGGACAGGGGAGAGACAGGGAGTCATGTGATGTCAAGAGAGCAGTGGGCAGTAGGTGACAGGGGTTGTGAGAGTCCCCACAAGAGAAGAAGAAGAAAGAAAATTTAAAGAGGTCAGGACATTTAGCCTGAGGGATCATTTAATTACGACACAAAGAAACAGAACTTCCTGAGACCTGATGTGAGGAATCAGGGCCATAAGTTCAAAGGAAGAGAGAAGACAGCAGAATAACCTGCTGGTGGAGGAAGACTTGGCTCTTTCAGATGGGAGAGGCTTGTAAGAAAAAAGAAATTCTGAGATTAATGCTCTCCTTGTGAAAATAAACCTGTAGGCTTTGTTTCATGCCAAAAACATTCCTAAGCACCTACTATGTGTCAGGTTCTGCCCTCAGATGGGGAGGTAGCAGAGTCTCAGAACAAAGTCCTTGCTCTCAGGGAGCATCATTATAGTAGTGGGAGAGAGACAATAAATAAATGCAAATGTGATAAAATATGCTAGTCATGCTATTATGTACAAGAGTTTTCATATAAAAACCTTGTGCATGAAATTTCTTAATATGAAAATAGTGATCAGCAGGGTTTAACTTGTAAAACAAATACAAATTTTGATTCTGCTGGAAGAAAAAATGTTATGAGACCAAGTTTCAGAGACCAGCAGCTTACACCATTATGGCTGCTTTACTGGGAAAATTTGTTAGTTATATTGCAAACGAAGAAGGGAAGATACTAGAAGGTAGTGATCTCCTATCTCTGAAAACTGGAGAGAATTCACAGGAAACTCCCTGGGCAAACACAGAACTACAGTTTCCACTACTCATATGGAGTATAGCAGGTGAGACAGTGAACTTGTACCAGTATACTGATCTTAATGGGAGCTGTCCATTGTACTTATGTTTATATTAGTGAACAATGAAGACTGTGGGCCTTTTGGTTGACCATGTAGGTCATTACTTTTAACATGCAATTAACAAGCTGTTTCTGTGCTAATATTCGTGTTTGTTTACATGCTCATTGGTCTTAATTACTGCCCCCTAAGTGACTAGCCAGAAGAATTACTGTTAACCACAAAACTTTTAGTTGTTGATATAACAGTTATATTCACAACAACAATAAATAACTTTGGAAAGGATTCAATAAGCTTAAGAAATCATTCCAAGATCATCATAGAGCTCACATCTACACTTCTAGAACTTGGGATACTAAAGTAGGAGGATTGCAAATTTAAGGCCAACCTGGGCTACATAGAAAGACCCTGTCTAAAAAAATCATTCCAGCTTTTCTCTTTCCTTAAGGTTCCTCCAGCCACCTCTCCACTCCCTTCATCCTTTCGCTGCAGTTAGAAAAGCTGGCTTCCTCCTCCCCAGCCACACCAGTCTCCGTAGGCCATGTGGGACCTTCCCATTCCATGGAAGTTTCTAATCACATCTTGTCTCTTCGTAGAGGGCTTCCTGGCCACTCTTGAGAACAGCTGCTAGGGTATCATTGTGTCATCTTATCTTGCACTGCTGTTCATCTTAGCACTGGCATCCCATTGTATTGTCTGTTTGTTTCCATGTTCATCTATTTCCCTTGTCAAAGAATAAGCTCCATGAGGACAAGGATTATGTGCAATTCTCTCAGTGCCTAAAATACTACCTGCCTTGTGGAAAAGCTCAAATATTCCATTAAATACAAGAATGAATGAATTCTACACCAATGTGTTAACTGAATGTTTTTATTAAAATTGCAACTATTAAGTTGATTTGGGAAAAGACTCAACTCTTTCCCTTCCCCCACCTCCCATCTCCCTTTGGCAAGAGAGAAGGAGAGCTGGAAATAGAATGGGAGAAGTTCTGTAAATTTCTGGTAACCATAGAGACGGTGATTTTAGTTTATTAATCTCATGCTCTTAAGCAGGCTGGGGCCCCATGGTGATTTCTCCAAATTGCTCAGTGCTGGTTATCCTGCAGCCTTCCTCATTAAGGAAGAGCAGGCCCATTCCTATCTTGCAGCACTTTAATTACTGACAAGCAGAAGCCCAGCACTATTACACTCATTATCATGTGCTCTAACCTGGCTGCATCTCCCACTTTGGGGCAACAGAACATGGTCACCACCCCTAAAGCCCTGGAGGCTTCAGTGGCAGGTGGTGGATATGGGTTACCTCCTCTTCAACCCCAGATCTTGGGATGGGGCTGAAACTTCTGCCCTTTGTTTGAAAATGGCATTTTAGTGCCATCTGGAGTGGCATTTAGTTTCAGTCAAGGAAGACACCAGTATGGTTTCCTGCCACTGAGACTGTGCTTTTAGAGGAAAGGTCCTTGGGGACCACAGCACTTCTTCCTGTCTGGCATCTTTTGGGTGTGTGATTTAAGGGTTGTTTTTCCTCTTTTAATGGGAATGACATACAGCCTTTTACAAGTTTGCCTGTAGTTCTTTGGGTAATAGCTTCAGGGAAGACTTTTTTCCACAGCTGTTTCTTCTCCAGAGAAAAGTCTGGCACAGGCATCAGAAGACCAGAGGTGGGATTTTATCTTGGCAACTCTCTCCCAGTGCAGCCATAGGTGGAGTCTCAACTTCCTTGGGCCTCAGTGTCATTTATAAATGAGATTGGACTTGGTCTTTCCATCTGTTATTTGTGTTGAGACTCTGACAGTAGCTTGCCTGATTCCAGGCTGGACTCCAAATGAATGAATGAGTGCTGCATAAAGGAAGTTCCCGAGCAGGATGTGTGCTGCAGTGAAGGAGTATGTGTGTGGCTAGTGGAAGTCTCTGGGGAGAGACAAACTGCCATCCCACGGCTGGTCTGGCCTAAAGTCTGTCCTTACTCTGGTGTTATTATTACGGAAATACTAAGACTTGCTCTGCCTGTATTTTCCATCCTGTTGGTTTAGAAACATTGAGTCTCCCTTCCAGAGAACACTCAGGGGCAGCATGCAGGTGCCACATGCTGTGCTGCATGCTGGGATCCAGCTGCCCAGTTGGGAAAAGCACTGGCAATTTCCTCCGCGGCATGGGACAAAGTGTTTTGGTGGTTGTGGGCTTTTCTGCTGCACACGCAAGGGTCATCTTCCATGTAACAGAGCAGAGACCCTTGGCCGAGTGTGGATTCCTGAGCACACCAGCAGCAAAACTGCAATCACACACAGAGTGGGGCTACATGCGGGTGCCTCCAGCTGAATGACCAACAGACCGCAGAGCTCTGCTGTTCTCCTTCGCAGGTGCCGTAACCTGTCGTTCCCTGACAGCCTACCAGAAGTGAGCATCGTGTTCATCTTTGTCAACGAGGCTCTGTCGGTGCTGCTGCGCTCCATCCACTCAGCCATCAAGCGCACACCCTCGCACCTGCTCAAGGAGATCATCCTGGTGGATGACAACAGCAGCAATGGTGAGTGCGCACCTCGGCTTCCAGGTCTCATTTTTTTATGCGTCTTGGTGAGTAGCTCTTCTCTGGGATGTCACTTCAGGTGCACTGACCATGATTGTTTTCTAAGAAGCAGTGTTTTATCTAGAGGTGTTCTTTGGTCTTGGCCTGGAGGATTGTTCCTTGGTGTTGTGTCAGCCGTGATGGTGATGATGGTGGAAGTGTTGATGGTGCTGCTGGTGCAGACTGGAGTGGTGGTAATGGGGGGATGGTAGTGGATACATAAACCAGTGACAGCAACAAAGCTGGTGACTATCTAACGTCTTTGCTGGATCCCTGTGTCCTGCTGCATCTGTCCCTAGCAAGGCCCTAGGTGACCTGCAAATGCCTCATTGAAGTCTTTATGTCACAAATGCTTCTTCAGCCACAATAGCTACCTCTGCCCATTGGCACACATTCCATGGCCTTTGATTCCCCCCACAAATTCCGTTCCCATAATCCCCAAACTTAAAGACCACAGGTGGGGACAGTTTAGAAACTGTGTTTATGATAAGACTCTTTATATGGATGTGCTCCTGAGAATGTGTGTTTTTTTGAAATAGACCATGAGGTCACCAGATTGTAGAGTCCCTGGGCTTGTGTTATCTTTCTGAGCCTTCTCCAGTGTAGGCAATAAATTTCCCAGTGAATCAGTTGCTGTAATGAGATGGGCAATTTGTGATTTGTTATCAATTAAAGCTGAAACATATCAGATAATTGCAATGCATTTAATCTCAATAAGCACATTTTCTTTTTCATTTTATCATCATGTAGTAGGAAGTGTCTGTGAAGGGATTTCAGAGCTTTCTGAAGGGCAATGCTCATGAAGCACTGGACTCTCATTGTTCCAGAAAGAAAGGATGTAGGTAATATAGTTTCAAAGGTGATTGTCTGCCGTGATGGAGGCAGGCAGGGGCCAGCTCCCACCTCTGTTGCTGCACTTCTCTTGGCCCCTAAAGAAAGCTCCTTCCTCCAGTGGCTCGCAGCAGGAAGCCCACTTGCTACCCTTCAGCTTCACCCAGGCTTGCCAGTCCTCTCCCACCTTACCTTATAAGGAGGCAAGAGATGAAGGATGAGCACACCCACAAGCCAAGCAGCAGCCGTGGACCCTATCCTCCCGCACTTCCTCACCTGGCAAAGGAAAGAGGATGAAGTATTAGGAGACAGGAATCTCGGAGCCTTGTATTTCTTCTCCATAGCGAGAAGCTTCTTGTAACCTTAAGGATGCCATTTTTCTTTAATCTATAAGGAAAATTGAGGAAAGATTGATACTGCATTCGAGAAAGGTAGTTGTATTTGAGAAACTTAGAAGAAGAAAGTGAGTCAGATGCAGAAGGTCAAATATTTGAATTTAAAAGTTTGGATTTTATTTTGTTAATGATGATTACTGTCAGAAGTTTCTAGTCAGAAGAAAGAAGTAGTGAAAGTAGGACAATCAAGATTGGTCAGCATGTTGGCGAGGGGAAGGAGCCCTGGAGGAGAGAAACCGCCTGTTGCTGCAGACTGACAAGAAGTCTGGAGTGATGGGCCCTGTAGGGATCAAGGGCAAGGCACAGTCCTGACAGATACTGTGGAAGGAGTTTCTGTTGAACCTGTCACGGGCAGGTGGGCCGAAGGAGGGCAGTCAGTGAGAACTACGAGTTGCAACACAGACTGACTTTGAGGATGCGCAGGAGTAACCCTAAAAGAGGGAGGTGGGAAGAGAGATTGTATGCAGTTAATTCCTGTGTCATGTATGCAGGAATGAATCACTTGGAGAGTTTCAAAACCAAAGCCTTGGAGAGTTTTGTGGTGATGGTACAGTTTTGTGGTTTTGTGATGCTATAATTAAGTATCTTGATTGTAACTGTGGTTACACAAAGCTGCATGTGTCCTACAGTGGCTTACAGCCCTACACACATGCTCCCATGAGTATCTGAATAACTGCAGAGGTCTGAACAAGCCTCGTAGAGAGCAGCAACATCAGTGTCCCAGCTTTGACATTGCACTATAGTTGTGTAAGATGTAACCACTAAGGAAGCTGCATGGAGGCTGGATGGCACTTCCTTATACATCTCTGTGTATCTTTAATTGTTTCAAAATTTAAAGTTAAAAGGAATAAACCAAAGTACCCCACAGAAGATCCATATTAACTTTGAGGTGGAATCTGGACATCACTGTTTTAGAAAACATTCTTCTTGAGGCACAGCTCTCGCTGAGAACCTGTGGCTGAATACAGGACATACAGCTTCTCATTCACCCTTGTTGAGTTTCCAGTGCAGAGTGAAGGAAAGAACTCTGGGCCAAAGCTGGAAGTCATGAATCCTCTGCATGGCAGAGAAGAGACCAGGGGAAAGGCCCTCAGCCTGCTCAGTCTGGGCTTCTTCCTCTGTAAAAGGGATGATATTCCACCCCTACTTGCCTCCCTGCCTGAGTGGTAAACATGTAACTGTGAATTAACAAGTCAGCATTACTGCCCCCAAACCCCAGCACATTATCAGGAGGCTGAGATACAGCTAGAGACCTGCACAGTCAGACTCAGGAGACGACAGTAAGAGTAAGGGACTTGCGTTTGCAGTCTTATGGAGAGTAAATGAAACCATTTGCTGCAAGAAGATGGTGTCAGGAAGAAACAAGGAGAGGGAGAGGAATGGAGGAGAGAGAAAAAGCCATAAGCTTGGGGGAACTCGGAGGGTTGAGATGTTCAGGACCCAGTAGGATGGGTTAGATGGCAAGTGACAGAGAAGGAAAGCCATAGAGTCGCAAGACAGTATAGTCTCATGGATGGAGAGAATGTAAGATGGTTGTCTGTTCGCAGGAGGTAGAAAGACAAGGTGTCCAAGGAGCTGGTCAATGTGGTCAGTGCGGATGACGGAACCTCGGCGAGAAGCAGTATAGGTGAGAGGCTGGGCTGGGCTATAGAAGCCAGGCAAACAAGAGCAGGTAGCGGATGCAGAGTTTTCTGCCAGGGGTTTTGATTACAGAGGAGGATCCATAATCAAAGCTAAGGCAAGAACTGAGGCAATGTTTTTCAAAAATAAAAAATAAAAATTACTATAATCTATAGCAAGAAAGAAATTTACATTGTGACTCAGAATGACATTCCCACTCATACCCATATGTGCAAGAGTGAAACAAAACTTGAGAAATAATACTTCCCCTTCCGATGTGCAGAACACTCCGCTACTTTCTATTGTGTTCTGCTCGGTGCTATTCAGTTCTATTGTATTGCATTTTATTCTACTTCTCTCCTCCTTTTTAAAAATGCAAGTTGTTCTCAAAACCCTGAGTGCATATTGGAATCTTTTAGAGAGCTGTTAAAAAAAATTCAAGAGTCCAAGTAGCTACTTAATGTATTTGGAGAGGAGTGACCGAGTCCTTCCAAGATTGAGGTCTGGAGCCGGGTCTCTGCGGGGTGGGGCGTGGGGGAGGAGAAGATGGATTCCAGAAACCAAGGTTGCCTCTAGGGAAAAAAGCTCATCTTTCCCACCTGAGGAGCCATAGGTGACTGTACAGGGCGACAGCTGGAGGTCACAAAGGGTGCTGGGGCAGACATAGCAATAACCTCTGTCCTGGGCACCTGGCCAGAGTGTCTCTGTGTGAATTGGGCAGACAGGTGACCAGGAGAGGGGCTCCCTTAGATTAGCCTGAGCTGAAGTCCCCAGAGGAAGAGGCACATGAGAGGCGCCTGGAGGAAGGGCACTGCCTCAGCCTTAGGACAGGCAAAGGACCGTCCTACCAGCTTGATCTGGAGTGGAGCGGCTGTCTCAGAAGTCTCCATTTTTGAAAACTGTTCCTAAGTGTCATCTTGGCGCAGGACTTTGATTTATTTTTAGTCAGGCCTACCAGCTCGGTTCCACACGCCTTCCTGGAATATGGAGAGAATGATGGACCGGATTGGGGCTCTGCCATAAATACAAAATAGGTTAATGGAGCTCACTTCTGGTCTCAGTTCTGCCTGCCACTGCCCGGCTCTGGGCTTTGGTGCCATGGCTATGGGCTAGGGTGCCATGTGGGGACATCAGACCCTGCCTTTGCCACCCACTGACAAAGTGGGTGAGGATAACTTGGGGGAGCAGGAACCGGTGTTCTGGGCAAGCATCAGGGTGCTACAGGGGCCCTGAGGGCAAGTGAAAATGACCGCAATGAAAATAACAACAACAGTAAAGACAACAGTGTCAGCAATGTGGTGACACCGCTACCACATCAGGCTGCACGCTGGTGGGAACAGCACAGGATTTGGTATCTGGCCAGAGTTTCAGTCCCAGCTCTTTCTAGCTTCTTCCTTGCTGTGTGTTCTTAACCCCTGTGAACTCTATTCTCCTTATCTATAAAATTGAGATGTATAATTCCTATCTCCGGGACTGTTTGAAGGCTTGAATGAGATAAGGCATAATGGAAGGGACGCTGGTGTTTAAATTCCACATTAAGCAGGAGTGCAGAGTATCACAGGGTCTCCTGCTCTAAGTCCTCCTTCCCACCCTTTATCAGAAGCTCTGGGTGCCTGCACCTTCTTGCTTCCCACTGTCCTTTGAGTGGTGTCAGGCCTGGGCTTCCTCCAGCTCGGAAAACAGCAGCCATTCTGCTGTCTGCATCCCGGTCTGTGGACCTTCACCTCTCTTGGACACCAGGGGCCTCTGCTCTCCGTGCCTTCTTGGCACCATCCTTGATGAGCCCCCGCTTTTTCAGGGCTAACTTGTAGGTAGGGTGTTGTCACTGGGCTGTAACAGTCTCAAAGGGCAGTGTTTCGCTGGATTACAAAAATGGAGGTTCACGCCAGGGCCCCTCCTCCCTCGGGACACTGACACTGGCTCTGTCCTCCACCTGGAATATTCTAATGGCTCCCTCCATCCCTGTATGACCTGCCTGTTTACCTCTTTGGGACTTCGTGGAGTGCCAGGCTAGGGCTGTCACAGACCCACTTCACTGGCAGCCCTTATTCCTGCCCGCCCCCCCCCTTTCCTTAGTTCTTTCCCACTGTAGCACCTACTGCCATCTGGTGGACT